TTCGGTTTGAAGGGCGGGGCAGCCGTTGTAACTATAATTGAGGCCTGAGAACTTATATCTCAAGGTGGGTGGCGCATTTACGATGTGGATGTCTATGGGCTCCAGTAACCACTTAACACCAAGTGGGCTGTGAGCTCGTCCACCCATCTAAGCAATAAATAAAAAAACCAGCCAGATGGTCAGATCTGGTCAAGGCGGTTGGTGGCAGTCCATACCACGCGGTCCACGTCACCAATGACCGTACACTGTGGAGGAAAGTCACAAGTGGTCGTGATCCTCAGCAGTCAGGAAACGACGAAGAGGAAGATCCTAAGTTGATGGTACTATGACAGAAGCTTTCCCTGGAAGGCCAGTATTGCCGGATATAAAGCTCAGGAATGTTTAAAGAACAAACAAAAAAATACCATTTAGGAATAAGTAAGTCGCAAAAAAGTCTTCGTAACGAGTTATTTGTATTTGCGTCAATAAACTCACGGTATTATCAAATTAATAAAACATATTTTAATATTATAAATAATACAAAGGTTACAGTTATTCGAAAAGTTTCCAAGAATTTATCTGAAGTTGTGTTTATTCGGTAAACATGTTTGTTTGAAGTAGGGTAGTTTTCCATTTACTTTGACTATCTATATATTAATACGTGAAGCAAAAACTTTGTATCCCTATTTACGAAAATTGCGCGGACGGAGCAGTATGAAATTTTCCACACTTATAGAGAATATAGAGAAGAAGTGCACAATGCTAATATTTTTTTAAAATAATGCATAAAAGATACATTAAATCAATAAAGAAAACGTTACACACACTACATACCATGTATTTGACGCACACACGCATGCATACTATTTATTGTCAAGCTTTTGTTCTTGACGTCTGTGGTCAAATTGAGATTAAATATTGTTTGTCTTTGTTAATACTTTTTATAGTGTAGCCTTGGCGAAATTTGTCATTATAGAAGTATAAAATACAATCATAATAGTGTACAAACTTACAATTCCAATTAATTATAGTCGAATTTCGACTACTGCGGGACCTCTAGTCCATGTTAATCGTTCAATGTGTATTTTGTCAACGGAACCACCGTTCCATTTACCATTAACCAATAAATTAAACATCAATTAATAATTTAAAATTAACTTCGGTGAATGTGTACCAAGCATTGCCATACTTTACGAACACTTAAACAAACACACGTAAATGCTAATATGAAATAATCTGTTTATATAAACGTGAACCGTGAATGTTTTTAGCACGTCATTTCGGATCCTCCCGATCCACTAACGGTGCTTTTAGGTTCCTCAAGCACCGGTCATCGTTCTCGTCGAACCCGTCGCTTGCGACGAAGGGCTCGACGAGTAAATTAACCCACAGACACAGCCCACTGAGTTTCTCGCCGGATCTTCTCAGTGGGTCACGTTTCCGATCCGGTGGTAGATTCTGCGAAGCACGACTCTTGCTAGGGCTCGTGTTAGCAACGTCATCAGGTTTCAGCCCCGTGAGCTCACATACTAGTTAAGGCGACGCTAATATAACCACTCAAGGCTATCAGCTTAGGTAGGAAAAAAAAAATGTTTTTATTTTATTATTATTTTTTACCGATTATTCTTTATTTCGTATGTATGGTACATTTAGAAAGAGTCGAGGAAAGTAACTGAAAAAAACCGAGCGCCTTATATTGATCGTTAATGTTAGGTTCTACACAACAAACCTATTTAACAATATAACAGCAGCCCTACAAAAATTCAACTTTTTTTTTTGCTTAGGTGTGTGGACGAGCTCACAGCCTGCCTGGTGTTCAATGGTTACTGGAGCCCATAGACATCTACATGCGCCACCCACCTTGAGATATAAGTTCTAAGGTCTCAGTATAGTTACAACGGCTGCCCCACCCTTCAAACCGAAACGCATTACTGCTTCACGGCAGAAATAGGCAGGTACCACGCGCGCCCCTTTTGCGCGGGGACCTCGTAGGAGGTTCGGCCCACTACCCGAAAAAAAAAAAAAAAAAGGGTGGTGGTACCTACCCGTGCGGACTCACAAGTAGTCCTACCACCAGTAATTATGCAAATTATAATTTTGCGGGTTTGATTTTTATTACGCGATGTTGTTCCTTCACCGTGGAAGTCAATCGTGAACATTAGTTGAGTACGTATTTCATTAGAAAAATAGGTCACAAGAGGTCCTGCCACCAGTGTAAGTTGCAAACAAACAACGCGTGAATAAAAGCACCAAAATTGAATATAAGTTACTTAGAAGACGTTTTTACGAGCTTATATTAGTCACTTAGATAAAGCACAGTTATCATATTCATATATTGATTGGCTTAAAGTAGCGGATGAACAAACATCCCGTCTTAATAAAGTATCATTGAAATTCCACCCCGATTAGCTAAAAGACTACATATCCATACTAATGGTTAACAATATTTACATGCTAATCTACGGTCATCGTCCTCGTCGTACCCGTCGCTTGCGACGAAGGGCTCGACGAGTGAATTAACCCATAGACACAGCCCACTGAGTTCTCGTCGGATCTTCTCAGTGGTTCGCGCTTCCAATCCGGTGGTAGTTTCTGCGAAGCACTGCTCTTGCTAGGGCCAGTGTTAGCAACACACCCGCTTTGAGCACCGTGAGCTCACCTACACGTCAAGCAGAAGCTGATATACCTTCAAGGCTATCAGCATAGGTAGGAAAAAAAAAGCTAATCTAATCCCTTTTATCACACGATGTATTTTGTAAGCGCGCAAACTAAGGCGCAGGTAATTATCGCCGCGTTTTGCGAGGTCGATGACTTCGCGCAAATTGTTTTTCCATTGCGCGTGCAGTAAGCAAAACAAATTTTTTTATGCTATTGGGAATTAATATCGAACTGCCTAGCTTCGTTTCCAGGAGAATAGTTTTATTACCCCGATAAACCACCGCCTGTAGACACGCAGCCAGAAACGGATAGTAGACAGTAGTCATCAGGATTAAAATAGATGTAAAAACTCATTTCAATCGAGTTCATAAACAAGCTAAACTATGGATAATATCGGCCCATTTTTGTCGCGGATGAATTTGAAAGCTGCGACAGCCAATATATACAATACGAATTAATTTTCGACCTTTCATTCCAATAGACATCACAACGTGAACCTTTTGATGTCTATGCGACGACGTTACGTCTATACCGTAGTCTAAGTAAATCGTTTCGCTGAGCCGTAACCCATATGCCCGTCTCCGCTGAAAATCACTAAATCATTATGAAATCATACATTAAATACGAGCATATCTTATAAATGACGTCGTTCCAAAACATTCGTCGAAATAAGAATTCGTAGAGCACACAGAGGTATGACTAATTTAAAAATTCGTAAATAAATTATTAATGTTATTGAGTTCGCCTTTATCGACATCTGTGAAAAATCGTAACCATTGGTCCAAATTTATATTTAAGGCGTTCAAACGTTATTACGCACGGTAAATTTTATGTGACGTCATTTGTGGAGACAAAGAAGAAGTCATTATAGTGTCACTAGCAGACGTAGCCCGATCTAATATCTCAAAGTGAGTGATCACGAAGCTATGCCTGGCTGCTAGTAGCCACTTAATACCAAACAGGCTATATACTTGTTCACATATCTATTGGAAAAAAATCAATACAAATTGGCAGCACTATGTGGTCTGGGTTCCATCTAAAATCGCGTAGGCCGCGAATAGCATTTTAATAAACAAAAAAAGGTTTATCAAATTATAATTCTTATCGACTTTAATTGACAGAGTAAGAGCGAGTGTATCCACAGTTTTATTACGCTGTTTTAATTAAAAAAATAATTCATATTCCTGCGCGTACAGCTGAAATATCATCAGTCTGCCGTAATACATTGTGTAAGACTTATTGTGGATAGTTTATTTTGGTATTCTGCGTACTTTATACCACTCGGAGGGTATGACTATGCTCCAGTCTTATGATAACTTGATATTATTTAATTTTATTTGTAGATATCCAAACTTTTTTTGAACTTTATATTTTTTTCTAGGAGTAAATTCATTAGTACTTTTAATGTAATTAATGATGAGCGGTAAATCGAGCATTAAAGGACTTTAAAAGGACTGTAAGTTGCAAAAGCGCAAGCTTGGGCTTGCGACTGATCCTTTAAAGGCGAGGAAGAACTTAGATGATTGTTGGATCCTAGGCAACATAATATAGTCCTAAGAGAACAAGCATCTATTACATTGACCATATATTTCGAAAGTAATCAAGTTCACTTGAGCAGAAGACCAAGAAATTCGGTACTTTGGGATAATTACAATAAATAGATCCCTTTGAATCGCAGTTATCTTCTATCAATAACAAAATAATAACAAACGATTAGCTAATCAAATGTAATATAATAGTCAGGGAGAGCATGCTTATATCTAACATGTATGCATATTATATTTTCTAAGATCTCTGGGAGTTTTCTGTATCACCAAAAAACACTTAGTACCCAGTACAGTTCTGCCACGGAATCATTAAAGTACTGAAAATTGTAAAACGTATTGAATAAAAGCGATTTTCTTATTTTATCAAAGTATATTATAAGCTATTAATATAAAGACGGTGTTGTGAACCCATTACATGAAGGTAACTAGTAGATATTCCGGATTCCTTGGACACTGTAGATTCAAACGTCAGCTGATTGGAAGTTTTTGTACATGGCGAGCCACATTCACAAATTAGTGAATCCAAAATTTCCAAAGTGTCTTTAATATTATTGAGCTATGACCAGTAGGTACTATTTGTTTTCGGGTGCTCCCACTTAGGGATCTAATGTGGTGAGTTCATAATTAAAATCCAAATTTGAGGGCTTAAAATGACTGAAGACATAGAGACCAAACAATTTGTATATAGGAGAGCTGCTTGCTGACATGACCATCGCCAGTCGCCGATGCGGTTAGCGAACTTAAAAATCGTGAGCACTCCTAAACACTTCACATAACAATTTCAATTGTTTACAAAAATTAACAATGAAAACTCACCCGCCAACGCCGGCTCCCATAAAACGGAAATTAATAAAATAACACTTAGACTAAAACTAATTGTCCCCATATTGTGAGGGGTAATAGAAAATTTTCAGTCTTATGTTGAAATACTATGCTCCTTACGCCCTGGTCGGAAGGGAAATGAGGTGCCGCTGTGTCAGACTCCCTTTTATAGACGCGCCAATCGGAGGCACCTAATTGGTTCGAAATGTGAATGTGTAGGATAGATACACGCTTCACGATTTCCGAATCAAATTTTACTCGGCTAAGACCTTTTTTTTTTAAATCATCCAAAATGTCATAACTCTTTAAACATAATATGCCACTGCTTTGTCTTTTTTCGACAAATAAATCGTTATTTATGTATTTTTCTATAAGAGATTTAATTTATTTTTCCGTGATTAATCATGAATTGTCGATTTAAGGTAAATTTTTTTGGAAGCATTTTTTGTTTGGTTCTGTTGTTGAATAATTCGACTATTTGAACAATTTGGTCATCTGGTGTTGCCATGAATCGCATCAGTCCATCTCTTTTATTGGGTGTCATAGATTGTTAGAAGGGAATTCGGGGATGAGGTAGCAGTGTTCTTTGAGTATTAAATCAGCGCACTCTAGATGGCATTACTAGATTAATTAGTACTATTAGATTATTAATTATTATTAATGGTATTATTAGATTTAAGCTTATAGATTAATATTACAGGCAGCGGCAGAATAACAGCGATAGTTTCGGCTATCACAAAGCTGAGCCGCGGTCTTTTTATCTCCACTGTGTTAGTATAATATATTTTAATATTGTTTAGAATTAGAATTTTTATGTCATGTTAATTGAAAATTTATTTGTATTTGTGTTGTGGAGTAAATAAATGCAACTATTATTATTATTATTTACTGGTCGCAGGCATTATCATCCTGGCCATTTTTGCCGCAGTGATTAGCTTTGGCTTAATGGATAGCTAGATATTAGAACACAAACGCCTTTACTTACTTTGAGACTAGGTTCAATTTTGGATAAAACCCTCCGACGAAAATTGGAACGGTCTGTGTTATAAGCTAGAATGGGTGCATCATACCCATCTCACAAGCAAGAGAGATAGTACATGCCTGAATACCGGTGTAGTCATTTGATATGAGTATATTAAGCGTCTTATCCTCTAGGCCAGAATGGTGTAATTTGAAAGGACATGGATCATGCCTATGGTGGTAGCCATCATAAAATGCAAGATATTTGACAGATGCCTGAATCTTGCTTACGACATTCAAGATAAGCTTACATATATACAAGTTCCGAACAACAACATTTGGACCGTCGGTCTACCGAGCAATATAACCCGCTCGATGGAAGATCTTCCCTTGTTGTATATATCTCGACAATTTCAAAATTTTCCATAGAGTAATCAAGTCTGTCGGCAGAATTCAATGCTCGTCGTGACCTAAATGATAAGGCGTTTGGTGTACACGTATCGAGCGATGCGACCGGGCCGGTGTTCGAATCCCAGGTACCAGTTTTTTCTTTTCTTTTTCTAATGGAATACGCACTTAACTCATATACACGATTGACTTCTACTATGAAGGAATAACATCGCGTAACAAAAATCAAAGCGGCAAAACATATGTATAATTTGCGTGATTATTTTACGATTGAGAATTGTGCCTGAAGTCTGAAGGTGGGTGGCGGTAATTACTTTCTGATATTCGGGCTCCGGTATCTACTTAACACCAGATGAACCGTGCGCTCAATCATCCATCTACCCCATTAAAGTATAATAGCCAATTTTAAGTATTGTGTATAAGTAAGTGTTTAAGTATTTGTATTAGAACTAGCTTCATTACTTAAAATAAAAATAATATTAATCAATTAAAAGATAAACAACATAATTAACAAATAGTTTCGGCTATTGAAAACAATTGATTCCATTGAATTAGCCTAATGAGGTGCTTAAGGAATTGTGTTTTCTAAAGTTGATGAGTTACAGCATACGAATTCTTAAATTGAATTAATAGGATTTCTTAATACAGTACACGACATTTGCTACACAAAAAACTCTCCAGACTAATATTGTTTGTATCATATATTTATATTATACACTGGAGATATAACCTAAGGAGGGTTGATAATTCAGAACTTTTTAAATTGATAACTCACTCTAACCGGCGCCATCTAGGCGGGCTTCGGACAGCCTGCCGACCGAGAGGGCTGGTGGTCGTGGCACCGACGACCGCTGGCCCGGTGTCCCGAGGGAGAGGGCGATGGGAGAAATGTGCTCCGCACTAAGCGCTTCACTCTCCCCCCTTTGCCTTTTCATGAGTTCTGTCTCATGAGAGGCTCGGACGTGGGTTGTTGAGCGACAGGAGGTTTTAGCGGTTCGACTCCGACATACCCCACCCGCCATCCCCAGGCAGACGGCTGATTGTAAAACTCATGCTAAGTGATATCAGCATGATACTAACCTAACAAAAAAATTTCAGTGATGACAATTGGCGGGTTTTGAAGTGATTAGGCGATGAAAGAGCTCCATAGAAACTTTTGTAGAACAATTCAGAATACCATAGAATCTGTGGACATCTTAGATCACGAGGTTTGCTTACTTGGAAACGGTTAAGGTCTACTGGCTTTACGGATAATAACGATGATGTTGAGGAGCAGACCAATGGCCTAAATGAATAAAAAATTGGCGAATATACTGCTGCTCACCTGATGATGGAAGTTGTTAGGGACACAGCCAAATGAATTGAATTCCTGAGTTCCTAAAATCTAGCTTAAAAAGGACAAATTATATTGTTATTTCTCTATGACAAGCTCTAGGACTTCAGAATTCCTTCGGAAATGGATTGCCATAGATTTATAATTTATTCAATTATCACAATTGGCGGGCTATGAAGTGGTTAGGCGATGAAAGAGCTCCATAGAAACTATTGTTGAACAATTTAAAATACCATAGGACCTGTGGACATCTTAGATCACGGGGTTTACTCACTTGGAAATGGTTAAGATCTTCTGGCTTTACGGATAATAATGATGATGTTGAAGAGTAGACCAACGGCCTAAATGAATAGAAAATTGGCGAATATACGACCGCCACCCTGATGATGGAAGTTGCTAGGGACACAGCCAAACCATTTCCTACTCCTGAAATCTCGTTTAAAAAAGGACAAATAATTGTTGTTCTTTCTCTATGACAAGCTCTATGTCTTCAGAGTTCCTTCGGGAATGGATTGAAATAGATTTATAATTCATTCAATTATCACAATTGGCGGGTTATAAAGTGGTTAGACGATCCAGAGCTCCATAGAAACTTTGAACAATCTAAAATACCATAGGGCCTGTGGACATCTTAGATCACGGGGTTTGCTTACTTGGAAAATATTAAGGTCTTCTGCCTGTACGGATAATAATGATGATATTGAGGAGTAGAGCAACGGTCTAAATGAACAGAAAACTGGCGAATATACTGCTGCTAACCTGATGATGGAAGTTGCTAGAGATACAGCCAAACGAATACTTCTGAAATCTCGCTTAAAAAAGGAAAAATTATGTTGTTTTTTCTCTATGACCAGCTCTATGTCTTCAGAGTTCCTTCGGAAATGGATTAAAACAGATTTATGATTTTGCGATAGCACCACTTGCTATCGGAGCAAAGTTCATCGCTCTGGCCTGAAGCTACTGCGCTTATTGCCATGCGTTTCCAAAGACCATAGCTGTTACATACCATCCGTCTCTGGAAGGAGCTCAACTCTCTTGTGTTACATCTTCTTTGAACGGGGCTTCATAAGAATTGGTGTTGAGAAAGCAAATGTAAAAATGTTACTTTTTTTTCCTTCCTAAGCTGATAGCCTTGAGAGGCTATTTCAGCGTAACCTTAACTAGCAGGTGAGCTCACGGTGCTCAAACCGGAGTGATGCTAACACTAGCCCTAGCAAGAGCCGTGCTTCGCAGAATCTACCACCGGATCGGAAATGCAACCCACTGACAAAATCCGGCGGGAAACTCAGTGGGCTGTGTTTGTGGGTAATGCTATTAATGTATTGTTATAAACCGAAAATATTATAAAATTTGTTTACTTTCTTATAATAGTGGTCGCTCAGTAGTCGAAATTCGACTATAGTTAATTGACATTATAAGTTTCACATTATTATGGTTCTATTGTCAAAGACTATTTATTTTACTTGTAATCCCATGTTTCCCCCAAGACTACACTATAGAAAAATAATATTAAAAGCATACAATTTTAATCTATTCTCAATTTGACCACATACTTTAAGCAATAACAAAAGTTTAACAAAAAACACAGAGTGATACAGAGTAAATACATGGTAGTGTTTGTAATGTTTTTATTATTCATTTAATTTATTTTTTATGCATAATTAAAAAAAAAAATAACATTCAGCACTCCTTTTCTATATCCTCTATGAGTGTGAGTAATTTCATTCTTCTCCGTCCGCGCAATTTTCGTAAAAAGGGGTACAAAATTAATATATAGATTTACTGGTGATAGGACCTCTAGTGAGTCCGCACGGGTAGGTACCACCACTCTGCCTATTTTTGGCGTGAAGCAGTAATGCGTTTCGGTTTGAAGGGTGGGGCAGCCGTTGTAACTATACTTGAGACCTTAGAACTTATATCTCAAGGTGGGTGGCGCATTTACGTTGTAGATGTCTATGGGCTCCAGTAACCATTTAACACCAGGTGGGCTGTGAGCTCGTCCACCAATCTAAGCAATAAAAAAAATATAGAATTGACACGTCCGAATTCACACACTACTTTTGCAATTACATTATTACATTCATGTTTCGTCTGTCGCAAGTATATGGCCGGCTTTATTACGATGTTTGCTGAACGATATCACACATGTCCAATAGCAAAGGTCAAAACAGAACTATACTCATACGGACTAATACTCACATAAGATAACTCGTACAGAATACACTCAACTGTCTATCTGTTTGTTTTAATGTATACCTTCCTAGATGAAGGAATGAAATATGCAGAAATTATAAATCAGAAAACGATCAAGATAGGTTTTTGTTGTAATGGCGCGCAGACAAATTTTAAGGTCACGTCATGCAAAGTGGTCTCCGCTTACAGACAGACGAGCATACGGCCCACCTGATGGTGAGTGGTTA